TTACCCATGGGGTTACCCATGGGATTACCCATGGGATTACCCATGGGATTACCCATGGGATTACCCATGGGATTACCCATGGGATTACCCATGGGATTACCCATGGGATTACCCATGGGATTACCCATGGGATTACCCATGGGATTACCCATGGGATTACCCATGGGATTACCCATGGGATTACCCATAGGGTTACCCATGGGGTTGCCCATGGGATTACCCATGGGGTTACCCATAGGGTTACCCATGGGATTACCCATGGGATTACCCATGGGGTTAACCATGGGATTACCATTTATCGGGTTGATCAAGGTATTGTTGAACATACTCAGGTTCATATTGATGTTCGGCAAAAACTGCGCATAGTTGGGAGTCGGGCTGGAGCTGTCGTTCATATCGAAGATTAGCGGGGGCATATCGCCTTGGGGTCCATTCATGAAAAAGTGCATCATGGGCATGCTGGGCATTACCGGCCCTGTTGGCTGCAGAAATATGTTTGCCGGCTTCAGTCGAGTACGTGTCTGTGCTTCCGTGGACTCATTCTCGCCGATCTGTGAAGCTGGTGGGGTTGCACCACTCTGCGAACTCGCAACATTTGGTTCGTCACTTTCTGCTTCCGCGTTTGTCAATGTTTGATTAATTGCCTGCTCGTTGCTGTTGCTGTTGCTATTGTTCATGCTCTGGACAACGCGATCGATGTTACCAGCATTATCGCCCTCACTTCCGCCCGCGACCTCATTGTCGTCAAGGTCGTCCACCTCGCTATCGTTGTTGCTAATGGCCGATGAACTGTGACTGGAGGATCGGGGACTCAGAGAGCTGGACTGACTGCTGGAGGAGCTGCTTTGCAGGCAGCGGCGCGAGTACTGCTCCGAGCGCAGCACAGGCGAGCTGGACTGACTGCCGGTGGTGGTAGAGGTCTGCTCCTGCTCTAGCAACAGCCGCTGCTGCTCATGTTGCTGTTGTTGTTCCTGCTGCTGTATTGCCATCTCGCGGTTGTGGCTGTTGGGGCTAAGACGAAGCACTGATGTGTTGTGTGGGCTGCGATACGATGACGGTGTCTCGGTGTCGTCCGATTCCTGCTGCTTTTGGTGCCGATGCTGGTGCCGCTGCTGGTGGCGGTGCTGGTGGCGCTGCTGGTGACGCTGCTGGTGACGCTGTGCCGACGGCTGGTCCTTGACGCGAGTGGAGCTCCTGTCTGTACTGGCATTGTCCTCGCTCTGCTGGCTGCTCGGATGCGTGGACGAATTGTGCATGTGGTTCATATGGCGCGAGCGGCTGTTGCCGCCGTTATTGAAGCGACAGGGTACACCGCCGTAGGTGTTGATGCGGTAGCCGTAGCGCGAGCTATGCGGACGCGGCACCTGTTGGGGTTGGGGGTAGGGATTCGCATGCATAGGCACTGAAAGCACAGACAAGTCAAGGTCATCAGTGGAAGAAGCAAATAGACCCAACCGACTCGCTTACCCATGGGTCTGCCCCAGAAACTCATCGGCGCCGTGCCACAAGGCGCCATCATGCGCGGTCCGTTCGGCGCTACAAACTGTGGGGCTGGATTGCCCTGCGGCCTCGGCTGTGGTGGTGGCGCAGGCAGTGGCGGCGGCGGAAACATGCTTATGTGCATGCACCAGCAACGGTACTCTGTCTGAGTGCCCACATCGACCAGCAAGGGACGAGGCTGTGTGCGAGGAAAATAATGGCAAGTACATACAACGAATCGCTAATGGAAGTCCGGGCTTATACTCACATTGACGCGTGCCAGATCCTGGGGCGTCAAGCTGTGTGGATGGCTGGGTGGCAAGAGTCCTCCGTTGCCCATCCAGGGACGGGCGACGGTCTAATAATCATAGAAATTTATTTGACGGCTAGCAAGGAATGGCCAGATCTACTTACCGATGGAAGGAACAGACTTGGATGCAGCGGCGTGACCTCCAGTATGGCCGTGGTATAGGCTGCCATCTGGACCTGGGTCATGTTGGCGAAGCGGCCGCGCAGCAAGGGCAGCATCAGATTATGGGCGCGTATCATAAGGTTTCGCAAGGTAGCAATATATTCCGAGCTGGATAGACTGCATTCGCTCACCTGGCGGGCGAAGTCCTCGAAGGATGGAAAGTCATCTTGGGAATCGTCGTTGGTATTGTTATCGTTGTTCCCGATAGTCGATCCAGTACACGCTGCCTTTGGCTCAACACTTGGCGGAGCCATATCCTCTTTTTCCTCGGATACAGTCTGGGACACAGTCAATGCACCATAGGAATAGGGCATCCATTCAGCGGGCGAATCAATGCTGCGTGGCTGTACCGGCTGCACCGGCTGTGCCTGTGACTGCAAATGTTCCTGCGGGGTGAAAGCAGCGGCTTGCCACCAGTCGCGTGGTGTTGTCGATTTTTTTGGCGGCAACTTTTTCTCCTCCTGACACTCCTGCTCCTCCTGAAACTCCTTCTGAAATTCCTGTGGCTGCTCTTCTTGCTCTAGCTCCTGCTGCTTCTGATATTCCTGTTGCAGACATTGTTGTTGCTGCTGCTTCTGTGGCTCCTGCTGAAAATCTTGCTGCAGTTCCTGCTGCTGCTCGGACTCCGCGTAAGCCTGCTGTTCCTTCTCGAGGCACATATCATGATAGGTTGGTTCATCTTGTGCTCTCTTATTCTGCCCGGGCTCTACCCACCAGCCATTAGGTGGATCTATAATCTGTGGCTGCATGGCAGCTTGCGCTTGAAACTCAAGGCTAGCGGCCCCCTGATTTACATCATTCAAATATTCTCTGTCTGTTGGCACTGAATGCACGTGCTCCGTTCCCTGATGCTCAGCCATGGCGTTCTGTTGGTTCTCCAAACGCCAGTCGATGCGCTCATGCTGCTGCTGTTCCTGCTGCTGCATAGCATGTCCAGAGGGCCACCAATCACATACCGTAGGTGCCTGTTGCTGATGCTCTATTCCTTGCTCATCCACATTTTCCACCTGCACGAGTGGCTCAAGCACCCCCGGAACTCCTTCGGGCAACCAATCGCTTGGACACGGCAACAGTGGCTCACCTCCAGCATGCTGTCCGTCCGCGGGCCACCAGACCGGTGCCGGCTCTTGGTCCAACTGGGGCACTTGTTGGTCAGCCTCCTCCGAGTAGCATTGGCCAGCGACATGCGGCTCCTTCACATCCTGCCAGACATTGGCTGCTGATGCGCCCTGCTCCTGCGGCTGTGGCGAATGCAGTCCATATGAGGCGATCAACTGCTCAATGTCAAGCCAGTAATCATACGAAGTCGGCAACGGCGATGTCTGGGAAAGCGGTGCATTCACATTGCTGTTCGTCTCCACATCGCACCAGATCTCGCGAGACAACGCCTGTATGTCCTCTGGACGTAGTTGCCGACGCCGTTGATGATGCTGCTGCTCCTGCTGTTGGTGTGGAGCGACAGTTGCGACAATCTGATCGTTATCTATCCAGTATTCGGGTGGAGGCGGCTCCGATACCACATGCCCCTCGATCTCATTGTCCTCTTGATCAACATTGAGCAACATCCCATGGTTCTGCATTTGTTGAGCGTTTTTCTGTTCTTCCATTTCGCGCCAGTATTGCAGATGCTCGGGTGTTATGTGACCTTGGATTTCATGCGGTACTTCAGACATGGGATACTCTGGATGTTGACTGTACAGTTGCCCCTCAGCTGCTACATTGTCCTGTTCAATTTCGCGCCAATATTCACGGTTTTCAGCTTGTGCTTGATCTTCTAGGTGGCATTGGTTCAGCATCGGTGGCATTTCCTGTTCCATATTAGGTCCGAGCATTTGCTCGTGCTCTCCATCGATCTGCTCTTGGATTTCACCCCAGTACTCAAGATCGTGAGGCGACTGCTGTAATTGGAATAGCATCTGGGGATGCGGCTGAAACGGAATTTGGCCTTGAATATGAGGAGGCATCTGACCCCGCATATGAGGAGGCATCTGACCCTGCATATGAGGAGGCATCTGACCCTGCATATGAGGAGGCATCTGACCCTGCATATGAGCCGGCATCTGACCCAGCATATGAGGAGGCATCTGACCCTGCATATGTGGAGGCATCGGACCATGCATATGGGGAGGCATCGGACCCTGCATATGAGGAGGCATCGGACCCAGCATATGAGGAGGCATTGGACCCTGCATAAGAGGAGACATCGGACCCTGCATATGTGGAGGCATCGGACCCTGCATGTAGGGTGGCATTTGATCCTGCATGTGGGGTGGCATTTGGTCCTGCATGTGGGGAGGCAATTGGCCCTGCATGTGGGGCGGCATCAACATATGCATTTGAGGATGCATTAGCCGCTGCCCATTCTGCTGATCAACGTCCGGCCAACACTCCCGATTTGACGGTTCGGGACAGTTGCCGAGCGCCCGCTGATTGGGTGGTGGAAATGGGCGAGGACTCGGTGCCACCCGAAGAGTGAGGTCCACGGTACAGCCATTCATGTCGGGATCGCCGTAATCACCTGGATACATTTGTGCCTGCATTTCGTCAGGATCCTCGCAGTCGTAGATCTCCTGCACTTGGGCCCCATCGTAGTACTCTTCAAGATGCGGGTCCATTGGACGTGGCGGTGGCGGTGGTAGCGTCTGCGGGTTTATTTGAGCTGCCTGCTCTAGAGCCAGCAGATGCGACGCGTATGAGCCCATGGGGTGAAAAACCGGCGCATACGGTGACATTTGGCCATTAAAGCTGTTCATCAGCAGCGGTAGATCCCGTGTCGCCTCCGATGATGGACCCGTACTAGCCGGAGCTTGCTCAGTACTTTGCGGAACCTCGCCTACTGCTCAATGGAGAAGCTGTTTATAGCTCGGTAATGCTTAGATGATTATAAATAAGCCACTTACCAAAGGCGGGAATAATCTCATTTGCGATAAGACTTGCCCAATTCGGGGACGATGAGCCAACAGAAGGATCAGTCATGATGTTAAAATGCTAAAATGAAATGTTATAATTATCAGTTGATTTGCGTTAGACTTCAGTCCGAAGCTTTGTCAATTTCAGCCTCGGGTAGGCAAAACTTCCATTAGTCTAAGCCTCCGTTGGAGTGAAGCTCCATCAGTCTGAGCCTGCGTTAGTCGAAACCTTCGTTAGTCTAAACCTCTATTAGTCTAAGACTCCGTTGGCCTAAGCCTCTGATAGTCAAAACTTCCATTGGACTAAATCTCCGTTGGTGTAAGCCCCCGTTAGTCGAAACCTTCGTTAGTCTAAACCATCATCAGTCTAAACTTCCATTAATCTAAACCTCTGTTGGTCTAAGCTTCTGATAGTCTAAACTTCCGTTAGTCTAAGACTCTATTAGTCTAAGCCTTCGTTAGTCTAAAAATCCATTAGTCTAAGCCCTCTGTTAGTCCAAACCTCCATTAGTCTCAACGTCCGTTAGTTAAGCCCTCTTTTCTGTCTGAGCTTTTCAGTTCAAATTTAGTTCAGTCCTATCGCCTGATAGATCTATCTGCAAAAGCATGATTTGTGAGTGTTGATGCAAAATACTTACATCGTTGGCTATGATTGTTCTGCAAAATCCTTCGAATCAAGTAGAATATCTCAAAATCAAAACTGTGGAAATATAGTAAATATTTGAATTTATGCTTGTTGGGTTTTTTATCAAGGCTAAGCAATAGTGTTATAAACATATTCTAAGGGATTGCTACTGCTTGGATTGGTCTGCTTATAAATATCTTAGCTGTGTGTTATGTGAGACGTGTCTGTTCCAGTTTAAAACGCTTTCAACTGCACCCCGAACGTGCCTGGCATATTGAAGGGCGAACAGCCTAAGCCTGCTGTTCCTGTGCAAGACGCACAGCAAATCATATCTCATCCGCAGGAGCGGCAACATTTTTGCAATTATTTCAAATATTTTTCAACACGGCTTTGAAATGCGACGTGCCGACGAATGCTGCACAACAGCAACAGCGAGCAGGCTAAGGGAAAAACCCTTTTTGTTTTTCACGTTTTTCCTTTGTCTTGCGCCAAAATATTTTTCCACATTTTATGCTGCGCATATTTTTTTCCCGCAGACTTGGCGCGAAATTAGCGGCAAGTGGCTGAGGCAGTGGAAAAAGGCAGCGGAGATAAACTTTAAATAAAACATGGTACACACAACACGGCCACCGAGAGGGAGGCAGGGAAGGGGCCGAGGCAGTGGCCGAGGTGTTGCTCGCGCATCGGAGAGGGAGGGTGGAAGATGCCGGGGTACCGGAGCAAACGTCGAACACTGGCGCACAGACCGCAATTCAAATAAAATCCTTTAGGGCTTTTGACTTTTAACTCATCCGTTTAACGAGCGCTCATGTTCGTGAGATGGCGAATGGCAGGCTAGCTGGTTGGAGGATGGCAGGATAAAAAGATTGCCCGGGCAAGGACAATACCCTTGACACCTACACACACTCACACACATTTATAAATATGTATAGCAGGGTAACCCAGCACGCGCTCTCAGTGCAATTGCAAAACAATGCGCGAAAAAGGCAAGGAAATCAGCATAGAAGGCATATGCGAATAGCTATGCTCTATAGAGTCGTATTTATAGCTGATAGAAATGATATACAAAACATGCACAATAATTATTATAATATGTATAGATCGATGCAAGACTATACAGATGATCCGATCAGATTTCCTTTCCACTTTGGAATGGAAACTTCTCTCGCTCCTCAAACTGCGATGTCATATATGATGTATATAATCTATACATCTTGAATAACTATATACATGTATATAGTTATGAATCTCTCTATTCATTGTGTATTAGCCTAGTCGACTTTAATGGACAGACACGCCCAAACGCCCACACACGCAGCTCACACAAAACGTTTTAAAATTTTTATGAGCCTTTTTGCTCTGGAATATCTCTATAGCACAGAGCTCTGATTGCTTTTGCAAGCAGCCCTTGCCGCCAAATCCGTCTCTCTCCCTCTCTCTCTCTCTATCTCACTCCCTCGCTCGCTCGCTCACTGAACGAAGCGGCCCGTGAGTAGAATCGATTGATAGCTGCGTCGCTAGCAATTGCCAATTGCCAATTGTCAGTTGGCAGCTTTGGCAATCGGCAATTCAGAATTTGAACAATTGCCCACTCGACGTGCGCAGAGCAAACGTGGCCGAGTCGCGGGCTGAAGAAGGCGTCGATTGAGGCGTTTGCCTAAAATATGCATGCAATGAGCCAATGCATACACAATGCCCAATTTCAGCTGGCTGCGGCTCTGGCTGTGGCTGTGGGGCCGATTGTGACATTTATTAACCAGCGAAATACACTTGTCGCGCATACGCCCCGTGGACACGCCCCCTCCACCCCTCAGTGCCCTAAAAAATCATGCTTCGTTTAATAAATTGAGCGTTTTGTGCAATTTATGCGCCTGATTTGACATTAATGTGGCCTGAACAGACTCCACGCCCACCACACACGAATATAAATCAGTGTGTATGCGTGTGTGTGTGTGTGTGTGCGTGGGAGTGAGCTGTAATGCGGAGTGTGTTTATTTACATGTGTTGCCTTCCTTGCCTAGTTTTTAACGGAAGAGCGCGTCTTCCGCTTGCTGTTTTTTATTTATGACAACATCTGTCGCAACAACTGCTGTATGTATGCGTATGTGTGTGTGTGTGTGTGTGTGTGTGGAGGCGCTAACATCTATGCTACACACACATCATTTATCATTTTAACGGCTCAACTCCTTTTCGTGTCTGCCACCTTTCGCTTCATTTGCTGCAAGTTTTCGCTCTTTACGCCCACAACTTTGGCCATTAAAAAGAAGAAGAAGAAGAAGAAGTTAACGTAAACGAGCTAAGACGACTTTCCCTACAGCCTTATATAGTTAAGCTAGCTTAGTGATATAATATAGTATCGCATTGTATATTTCTCTATAAGATTATGCGCACTCACCTGGCAAGTTTTTCTGCTATCCGCCACGGGCCTTTGCCTTCAGTTCTTGCAATTTATTTATGTTTTATTTTTCAATATTTTGTTTTTGTGTATATA